GTTGCTGGAATTGCACAACCCTGCATCACCAAAAAACTTGCAAGGTGATTTGGCTGTTATGTTCATGGACTGCTATTTAAAATGTGGTGTGTTGACAAGGCTGTAAAACAAAAATGTATTGTAGTTGTCCTGTATGTATCATAGTAATAACATACCTGTAAAAAATGTACAAAGTTAAAAAGAGGATATGCTATTGACTATGAAACATAGAGTGAGTGATCATGTGTAAGTATCATGGTGTACCATGATACCTGTCCCCACTTATAAGGTAAACGAGCAGGAAAAAAAAAGGTTCTGTTCTGGGTGCCTATTTCAGCACTAGGCCATTTCTTGCCATGTTTACTTTTCCCATGTGTCCATTCATTCTCTCTGAACTCCTATATGGCCTCCAGTGTGTGTGGCATATCATATTCCTTTAACCACTCATCCTCACTCTTCTTATAGCCCCTCTCAATTTCCACTTCATCTCCCATCTTTGTCTGTATCAGCAGTGGTAGTTCCTACTTGCACCCCAAAATCGTATTCCCTTCCAGGCACTAAACCATGACATGTGGAAAACATTGTATATTGCCCAACCATCTGGAAGTGTGAGTTGGTATGCTGTGTTGAAAGATTTTTTGAGTAATTCTGAAGGGACTGAACCTCTTAAAGTTGAGCTTGTGGATTGGCCTGTCAGAACATAAGTTCACATGCTCCAGGTCCACTCAATTGCCTGCAACATATTCTGGAGTGTCATCTACCCATCTGTCATAGAAATGTTTCATCCTCTCTGCTGCCAACTCCAGCAGCCCTTTCAACTCTCCCTGCACCTCTCTAATCCTATCCAATCAGTCATTGGCCTTAGGAACTGACTGGGAGTTTACCAGATTGATGGAGAACAATGGATTGTACATGTATTCAGCACAGAAGGAAGACATGCTGATCACCAAATGAACTCAATTGTTGGATGTGAATTCTGCAAAAGGTAATCATTCCATCTGATCCATAAAATCCTTTAATCACATCCTAACCAATGCTGATGCATTTGCCAACATTTACAATAGCATGAGCTTAGGATCTTTCAGTGACACTAATGAATTTTCTCTAGGATGTCACCATCCATCAGAATTGCCTGTGTTGCTGCTACTCATGCCATAACCACTAACTCCTCACACTTCCCCAACTCTACCACCACTGCTCTTGCCAGCCTCTCCCCTGGCAATACCTCCTGCCCTGCATTATCCTTTTTCCCTTGCTTTGTCTCATGATCCAGCCTGCATGATAGGCCATCTGATCCCATGCTCAGCTGCCATAGTGAATAATGAGGATGAAATGATGGAGAAATATGCTCTACCATGCCTGTCACTGATTTAAATCCTGTGCTGTCATAAAATACTTGAGATTTTGATGGTCTGAATACACCTTGACTGGTGTAAGGTTCCCTTCCAGGTACAGGCACCATGCCTTGAAGGCTCATACCACTGACAGCAACTCCTTGTCATGCATGTTGTAATTGCACCCTGACAGCTGCATTGCCTTCAAGTAAAATGCCATGGGTCTCCACTCCCCATCCTCCATCCTTTGTGAGAGAACTGCACCCACTGCAAAGTCCAATGCATCTGTCTCCACTCTGAACAGTGCCTCCATGTTTAGTATCATCAACACTGGTACCTGAACAAATGCTGCTTTTAGCTCCTCAAACACCCCCTCCCACTGCTACAAACAATCTTTCCTTTTCAAATGCTCCAGCAGCCTTGTAATTGTTGCGCAGTCTTTGACAAACCAGCAATAGAAATTGCAAAATTCAAGGAACTGGTTGATGTGTTGGAGGTTGCATGATACAGGCCAATCTGTTACCCTGCTGACCTTGACTGGGTCCATTCCTACATGCCCAGGCAAGATCTTGAAGCCCACATAGTCAACCTCAGTTGTCCAAAATCAGCACTTCTCTGGCTTGAGGAACAAGTTTACTTTTGGTAGGTGCTGTAGCATCTCCCATACATGTGCATAGGAAGATAATGATCTTGTTCAGGTGCAACACCATGTAGATGTTGAACAGGTCATAGAACAACTTGTTGACCATTCGTTGAAAAGCTGCAGGTGCATTGTGCAGTCCAAACTGCATGACCAGAACTCAAACTGGCTGAAGCACATTCTAAACAATGTTTTCCACTCATTCCCCTCTTTAATCCACACTTTATAAGACCCCCACCTCATATCCAGCATTGTGAACACCTTTGCTGCTTTCAGACAATCCAGTAGCTTGTTTGTCAATGGAATTAGATATGCATTTGGCTTTGTCACTACATTCAGTGCACAAAAGTCCACTACTAGTTGCAATGACCCATCCTTTTTCTTGACAAAGAACATTGGTGCATCACACAGGGCACCTGACTGCCAAATGTACCCTTTGCCAGGTTCTTGTTGATGAACTCTTACAATGCTCTCAATTTTGCCAGCGCCAATCAGTACAACCTCCCTGGAGGTGGCACCTCTGCCCCATCCACTAACTCAATTCCCAGATCATGTTTTCTGTATGCTGGCAAACGCTCAGATTTCTGCTTATTGAACACATCAAGGAACCCACGAAACCCCTCTGGCACCATCTCTGTCACCTCTCTTTCCCCACCTCCACCCTCTTGTGCTACCTTCTCTGTCAGCCTCTGTGACACACTCCTACCCACTGCTGCTCACCCTTCCACTGGCACCAATCTTGGCCTGTCTGCCCCCCTCATTGACTGCATATCCCACTTCTGCTCTAAAAATGCCTGTCCTCCACCACCACTTGTCTGGGCTCCCCCCTCCACCCTCCTGATCACATCCCCGATACATGCCTGTGCCACACACTGTCTCTCCACATTGTTGTCATCAGAAACATGTGTTTGTTGTTCTTGCCTGCTTCAAGCCATGAAAGTACTCTGCAGGGACTCTGATTAGCAGGCGTGACCCTGCTAGTGCCCAACATGTAGCCTTCTTCACAAATGACTTCACTGTGAAGTGTGTCTCTCTAACCTTCACTGATGTCACCTCCTCCTCTGCCATGCCCTCTTCCTGCTGCAGTGCTGCCTCCTATTTCCTCTTCAGTCTCCTTGCCATTTGGAGGTCAAGTCTGGGCCAATCACTGATGAAGCTCACTTACATGTGGTGCTGGGGGAGCATGCTGAGACTCTGACTTTTGATGTGGCCGACATTGAGAGTATTTGATCTTGGGGATGAATTGGTTGTGTCGGCACAACCTCCAGGTCAATTGGGAGAGGTCAACAGTTGAATTCGAGTCAGAGTTTTGCAAGGAGAACTGTTTACCAGTGGGGGTGCGAGCAGCAACAATGTGCAAAGACGCTCAACACACTCATTCATCTCAGTCCACTACTTACAAGCGTCGGAGCTAATGTCTCATTAACCTGGTGGCCCCCGTAGTTATCTGTCTAGAGGATGCCCTGTAATACCTTGAGCCATGTAAATCGCCTGCCAGTGACTTGAGGCGGTACGATCGTCTTCATCCTATCAGGACCTAGGACTCATAAGACCCGAGCACCTACCTCTAAAAGAGAACTCAGCAAATGCCAAGTTGAATGAATGATGTAGATGGTACGGCTTATCATCCCTTTGGCACACAACCTACTTCGCTGGAGAACACACAAAATGCGATCCAAGGTGATCACCAAATCCAATAGTCAGACTCGCAGGCTTTTTGGTTGCAATTCGTTGTGTTTGTTACAATCAGCATTGGCCTAATCATTAGTTCCTTGAATGCTCCCTATAAAACAAATTCGAATTCATGATTAATTCGCCGCCTGAGTTTGGGACTCGTTCATTGATTGCTCGGTGAATGAAGTCAAGCTCTCTTTCTCGAAATTCTTCATCGTTCTCCAAGATGAAGCCTCCCCTGTACCAAGGCTATATGGAATATCTTGTGCATGATCGAAACATCTACCGTCCCAACCACCGAACCTCCAGGTCGATGA